TACTGAATCCGACCTAACCTGTTCAAAGCTTTACTTTTCACAAATTAAATAACTTTCTAAAGAATTACGTAATAAAAATAATTCAGGAAAATACTTAGCAAAAATATCAATTCAGTCCTCTACTGCCTTTACTGATACATGGTTTTACTTTTATTTCTTTTCAATTTTACATGATATTAATTGACTTTCTGAATATTTAGTGAGATGCTCTTTAAATAGGTATGGTAATATTTTAGCAGATGGTTTATTTTCCATTTTAAAGGTTAAATTTCAAGTTAATGTTATGCTCTATACTACTAAGTAAATCTTTAAGGATGAAAGTAGATTATTGAAGAATACATTTGAAAGAGTATATTCATATAATGTATTGTAAAAATTTTTTTTGCCATTTGGATCAGTGAAAGTATTACAATTTTTTTATTAATAACCAATTAAATTTGTGAAATGTGACCGCTAATTATTCTAGATTTGATTTTCAATTTTGGTAAAATCCTGAACTGTATTACAGTCAGGGAATATACCAAATATATTATGGTGATCATTTCCTAATTTGGTAATGTTATTATCAATCAGAATATTCTAGATTATTAAAAAATGATTGGTTAAAAATTTAAAATTTAAAATTTATTATTAATTGTAATACCAAAATCCCGATAACTTATTTATAATAAATGCAATAAAAAAATAGATTAAGAAGGCTATTCTATTATTTAAATATGTATTTTTGTATATATAATATTTATAATAAATAATATATTAAAAATATAAAAATTGAAGTTAAAAAAAAATTTAATCAGAAAAATTGCTATTATAGAAATAGATATCAGAAATAAATGCTAGGAAAATTACTTTAGAAAAATTGTTTCAAAGGAGTTGCTATTGAAGAATTGCTGTCAGAAATAAGTGTTGAAGAAATTGTTATTGAAGAATTGCTATTGTAATATTGGAGAAATTACTGACAGAGATTGCTGTTAGAAAAATTAATAAAAATTATTAATCATCAAATACATTATTTGTATTGAATATATGCTTTATATCTTGTAATATATTTAACAATTTGTCTTGCTTTTTCAATTTCAATTCAGAATATTTTTTTTGAGTATTTTCACAAAGTTATTCAAGGAGGGTTTCAATTTTAATAAGATTTCAGGTTTAGTCATGTTTTCTTCATTCTGTTATATTTCCTATGCATCTACTTCCTGTTTTATAATCAGTATTGGCTTAAAAAGAGAAGATGGATTTTTGTTAATAAACACTTTAATAATAAAATTTTGTCAAGCCTGTTTTGCTAAACATGTAAAGTTTTTTAATTAATCACTCAATTCATGGTATTTTCTTAGACTTTGACAAACAGGTCTTGCATTTATTAGATTGGTGAATTCAAAGCTTCTCAAATAAATTTGCAATCTTTGGCATTTCATAATTGACTCCAGCTGAGTCCTTGATTCTGATGTTTGAAGATCATTATAACTAATTAAATTAAATAAATTGTTTCTAAGCTCAAAAAACTTTTTAAAATTGTATGCAATAACTTTTCAATGATAGTATTATAAAATAGGAGATATTAAAACCTTTAAAGTCTTGTTTACCTCCTCAATAATTGCATCTATTCCCTGATGTTGTTCATAAATGCCTGATTTAGATAAAATACAATTTTTTCTATGATTTTTTGTACTTCTGAACTAAGTCACATCAATTATACTTCATCAGCAACCTCTATTAAGCGATAAATTAAATGCTATCTTGCAAATCAAATTGGAGAAAATGATCTTTTAGCAGCTCTTTTTAATGATGGATTATTGATTCTTATAGCTTTCTGATAATTGATGATTATTTGAAGATAAATAAATGTTTGCTTATATTTTATCTGATAAACTAGGTCTTGTTATTCTATAGTCCAAATAAGGTATCCTTCAACTAAAGTGTCAGAATGAATTTCACATATGGCATATAAGTTCCATTGCTATTGCTTAATGATATATATTATAAATAGAATCTCAAGACTTATAATGATCTACACACTTTTTAAAATAAGCAAGTTAGTTCTCTGACTAATAACCTTGACACATTACAAATTGCTTTAAATCTATTTCCCTAATTATTAATGTAAAAATAAAATTTATTAATAAAAGATTATATTAGTTTAATAAAGAATCAATTTACCAGTTTAATTCTACATATGTTCGAAGCATGTTTATTTCTTCATGTAATTGCCTTAGTATAAGAACTAACTAAGGAATTTTTCTTTTATCTTGATAGCATGATAATATGAAACACTATCACAAGTTACTGATACCTATTTATAACTTCTGTCCTTAATATCTGATATCATTTCTATATGATGAAAAACTTTTTCAACACTTGCAATTGAATTAGGATTAATATTAATTGGATCCAAAATATAGATCTCAGGAACATTAACTTCTTGATCAATAACTAGCTGTTGAGTAAGGCTTATTTTAGGAACAGAAATACTACTTGATCTATTATTGATGTTATAGGATTTAAAAATAAACGGTTTTGTTGAATGGTCAATTATGTTATTTTCAGCTGCCTTTTCATTTTGGATATCAGCTAATGTTTGGCAAGCGTTCTTTACATTTTGGACATGTTTGCTTTCAATTCTCAATATTTTTTTGATTACAATTAAAGCACACTTTCATACAAGTAATATTGGTTGCTGTCACTATAAGAGAGTCAATAGTATTAACTGAATTTAATTTTCTTTATGTAGCAACTTAAGAATTTTAGAAAGGTAAAAATATAATTTATTGTCAATAATTTTTTGCATTTAAGGGTTAACATCAAAAATTTCTTCATATTGTAATCTATTTAAAGAAGAATATACTCAAGGTAAGTTAGTATATTAAATTTTATTTTGTGATGATATATTAAAAGCAACAAAACTGATAACAATATGAAAATTCACTATATTAAATCCTTGATCAAGATAATTCTTTTGTCCTCTTTGCTCATTATCAAATGCAAGAAATAAGAGTCTTTCAGGCAATTGTTTTTTATATTCATATAATTCTTCTATTTATTTTTGAAATTGATAGTAACTTCCAGAACTGGTAATGTGATTGATAATACCAATAATCTTCTTTGATTATGTAATAGTATACTTAATAGCTGAATACATATTTTTCATGTCATGCTTTATAAATCATATCAATCGCAAAAGCAGTTTTAAAAGTTTTTCCTAACTTAAGGCATTACCATCTTGATTATTTCAAATCAGCATTTTGATAAACTTGACAATGACCTGATTCTATTTTTTGAGCTATTTATAAGGTGTATATACTATAAGGCTTTTTATTGCAAACCTATTATTATCTCTAATCAGTATTTCTATATCATTGAATAATACTTCATATTCTGTTTTCACTATCTCAATAATTAAATCAATACAATTTTATTGGTTATTAAATCGTGAATTCTACTATTTAACAAAATTATTATTCTCTTTGCATTATTTTTCATATAAATTTTGAATCTCATTTATATAATTATAAGCCCTCTGCAATTTTTGTTTTAATTTTTCTATTTCATTTCTTTGATCTTATAAATGCTTTTGCAATCGTAAAATTTAATCATTAAATTCAATTACTAATTGTGATTCTGCTGAATTTCTAGGTGACTAGCTTTCAGAAGACTTTTAGTTTTTTCAAATTCAACTATAGTGTCAGAATGATCAATGCTATTATCTTTATCGGTATCTAATTGGAGCTGCTTATTTTTCTGATTAGAATCTGTAAGATATAACAATGATTTGATTATAATGTCTTTCGCAAATTAAGTAAGACTTTAAAGAAGAATGAAGATTAGAAAATTTAAGAAGATAATTATGATATTGTAGAAGCCGCTTAGCTGTTTCCTGAGTACTAGTATGCCACTAGGCTTGTAATTTCTTTATTTCACAGTCTTTTAATCCAATTCTACTATAATTATCAATTAAATATATGGAAGGTCTTTTGCTTTTGACTAAAGATGAGGGACGAAACTCAAAAAAGGCAATTAATAAACAGCCGAAACTATATTAAAACATAGTGAGGGGTACGACGAAACCCCGAAACCCCGAAACCCGAAATTAGCCGAAACTATATTAAAAACATAGTAAGGGATATGACGAAATTATTTTGAGGGAGTTTCGGCTGGCATCTTTACTTTTGACTTTAGGTAAGCAGATACTACAAAAAAAATTTATTTAAAATGTTAAATTAGTTAACAAAAAATATGCTATAAATTTTCATCTTAATTAACAAAATTCCTTATTTTGAGGTCTCATTTACTTTTTCAAGAAAAGTTGATCCCAATTGATTATTACTGATTATGAAAACTAGAAGTCTTTTAGTATCAATCTATATGCTATCTAAGCCACATTAAAAATTCAAAAAAAAGAAATGATTATTGATCATATATATGTAACAGCTAATCAAAATTCTATAAATCATTCTAGAAATCATTTCCTTATTTAGTATATTTCCTAACTGCATTTAGGTGTACGAATTAGAATTCTACATATATTATAGACTTTGGTATCAGTGTAGGTGAAAAAGGCTTACCTATTAGCTGAAATAAATTGATCAATATATATCAGACCCTTAAGCCGAAACATAGGAATAATCTTTTTATATGTTATTTGATTAAATTTAGGGTATATAGGTTATATAGGTATAGATCCACCTTTAACTCTATAATCATAGAATATATAGGGTGAGTGCTGGGAAAAGGAACCAAATCGACAAAAAAATTTTTTTTTGAAATAACAAATGATCTGAATCAGATGATCAAATCTATATCTATTTTACTTAGAAACTTTTTTTTAAAAAAATCAATTTGGTCTATTTTCCCAGCACTCACCTCATATGAGCAGTAAAGCTAAAATTTGACTTATTAAGCATTAACAGGAGAGCTAAAATCTAATCTTTAAAGGGTCTTGAATTGTGATGAGGCCATTCATAAAAAGGTGATGCTAGCAGCTATTCTGTTATTTGTAATTATAGTAGTCTTATATCTGTAGTAGATCCAATTAGGCCTTTATCATTTGAAATATTATTTAGAGTAGTAGTTTTGTCTTGTAATTGAGCGTCAAAGAGATAATTAACATTGTATAGAAGAGAAAAATGAAATGTGGATGTCGATATATCCTTAAATAAGAAAATTTTGGATTTAAATAGATGCCATATTAAACTTATGATCTGGTCACAAAACTTATATTCTAAAAACGTAATCTGTGTTTTATAGAGCAAGCATGAAAGAATAACAAGGTTGAAAATATAAACAATTTGTTTATCAGTCAATATCTTAGACATCATAATACAGACTACTATATAGACCTTTTGATTTACCTATTGTTGAATAAACTGTTTATTGTGTGATATGAAAATCCAAATTTCCAGATATCTAATTGAGGAATTATATTTAGCTGATATGGGATTAACTAGTAAAGAAGGAAATTGGAAGTGATATTTGAAGGTAAACATAAAAGTGGATTTAGGTCAATTGACTTTAATTGAATTAAGCATATAAAATTTATCAGCAATTTTCATTAAATTGTTTAGAAACTCCTTAGATTTACTAATCTATAGAGTGTCATCTATATAGGCTAAAGTAGGAACATGAATGTTAGCGTGATGATGAGTAAAGACAGAGAGATGTTAAAATTGTGTATCCACTCAGAAATTATATCTAAAATTAGAGCTTTGAACATAATACAAAAGTGGGTTAAAGTAAATACACTAAAGAATAAGTAAAATAATCTCACCTTGATCGATACCTAAAAGGACAGGATATCTTAATAAAGGACTATATACTTAATTAAAGCGAAAAGTAAATAAAAATAATATTAGCTCAATAAAGTTGTTAGGTAATTTAAGTTTTAGAAGTGCCTTATAAAGCATTTCTAAGTTGATCCTATCATATGCTTTTGACATATTTTGGAATAGGATCCAAAGTGATTACAATAAAAATGAGCATCCTTTTTATATGATCTAAGATATATATAGGGTCTTTAGTTAAATGATACGGTAATCCAGCAAAATTATAACCTTAAAAGGCTTAGTTTCTGAACAAGAGATTTAACAGTCTATTATTAACAAGTCTAACGAGTGTCTTTTTTAGGCATTCAAGAATTGTAATTGGCCTAGTATTATTAAGGTTATATTTCTAAGGCTTAGGCTTTAGGACTGAATAAATAAATATTATATTCCAAGCATTAGATAATAGTGAAGAAGCCAAATAACCATAGATGAAGATTTAAAAAGTCTTCTTTATAGCTAGTTCTAGATGTTTTAACATTTCATTCAAAATTTTGGAAGGTCCTAGAGCTTTGTTAATAGAAAGTGCATTAATGATATTATTCTATTCATCTTTTTTTGGTAATATCATAAGGTTATTATATATAAAATGATCAATATATTCTAAAAACTGATACCATATATTTCATTCATCAGTAATAGTATTGGTATGATATACAGTACCAGTGACTCGTTAAAAATGTCTAATAGATTCCTGAAGAACATCTGCTGGATTAGTAAGTAGCCCATTTTTATTTTTTAAGCTATCAATGTATCGATTAAAATGGATAGTTTGTCTTCTTCGATTGATGACAGAATCTATCATAATTGTTTGATTATCTCTATAATTTTAGCATCATTTTTCCAATACAATTTTGATTGAGAAAGCTTTATATTCATATTCTAATAATTTATTTAGCTTTCATAATGTAAGCAAAATATAATTATATAATAAGTGATCAATTGATAAGCACTTGGGTTGCCAGATTGTTATACTGAAGAAAGACAATCTGAAATTCAATAGCTACAGGCTGAATTAAGATGTAGTAGTTGTTTCATCTTATATTAAGGGCTTGTGACTTAATAATATTGTTTGTAAGTTTCTTTCATTTTTGTATAAGTTTAAGGGAATGATATATTTTGTTAAGAAGCTTGAATTAGAAATTCTTCACATGTTCCTTTGATTATTTAACTGAAATATACTTTTTAGTAGTTGTAGTAATTATATTTTATATGATATTCCAATAAAAGTTAATATTACTTTGAGAGCGAAGGTTAGTAATGTTGAAGTTTTTAACTGAATTGACTAATAATAATGTATCAGTTTGTAATGCGAACTTATTTCAAATTTCACAAGTCAGTAGGGTTTCGCAATTTGATTTGATATTTGAATATTCAATTTAAAAATCAAATCAAATACAAATTCAAATTAATAATTGATTTGATTCAATCAAATTCAAATCAAAGAAAAATTTATTTAATCAAATATAAATATATCTTTGATTTGATTTGATCAAATTCAAATTAAAGAAATTTTATTTAATCAAATACAAATTAATCTTCAAATATTTGATTTGATTTGCAAATTG